TACCTGTCTATACTGCACTAGGTTATAGGCTATGTCCATTGAGGGTTGTGTTGTATGAGGACCGAGGACAAGGTTGTGCTGATCATAGTGATCCAGGGCATCAGGAATTGAATAGATTTCTCCAGTACGAGGCTGTTATCTGAGTTGGGCTTTAAGGAACGGGTAGAAACTCAGTAGGCAGAGTGGAGAAGGAAGGACATTCTTGTTCTCAGGAGAAGCCAGGCTGCATGGTGTGCTAGGGAGACAACCAGGAGGAAAGTATGGCTGAGCACAGATTCTGGGAAAGAAAATGGCATTAGATAAAACTTGAAGAGTTTCACAGCAGGGAATTGTGGAGTGTCTTAAAGGTGAGCTCAGGAAATTTGAACTCTCCTTTAAAAAACAACAACAAACCCAAGGAGATACTGAAGACTTGACAGAGAAGAAAGAGCCTTGGAATTATAATTGGACGGCCTGGGTTCAAATCCTAGCTCTGTTAAGTACTGCCTTGTTAACCCAGACTTACCTTTCTGGACCTTGGTTTCCTCAAATGTGAAATGAAGGGGCTGGGCTAGATGGCCTCTGAGTCCCTTCTAAATCCCAATCTATGATGGCAAGGCTTTTGTATCTGGGAGTCATTGGACAAGATTTTTGCATTTGAAAAATGACTGGCAATGCCTGGAAGGATGCTCAGCTTTTTCACGTGGCTATGATCACCGAAGGCCAGCATAACTGGTTTCCTTTGTAATGCTATTAATCGATTTTTATGCATTGAAAAATACTGTTCTGAGAAGGCTCCACCAAAGAGGTCTATGACATAAAAAAAGGTGATCAACTTCTGGTGGAGAGACAGGAAGCCAAGATAATTGAACCAAAATTGGACTAAAGAAGATGCTGAAATTGCTCCTTGGGACTGGAGCAATAGCCAGGCTAAGCTACTCTTTTCTTTGTTCTTCCTGAAGTATCCATGTTACTGACTCAAGAGGAATGATTAAGATGGCCTGGACATGTGGCCTTTTCCATTTCCTGCCCACCAGTGAGCAGCGGTCTGATTGTTGTGTTTCAGAACTAACTGGGCCAGGAAGGAGAACTGGATGTGATGTGGGCACTGCAGACCGGGCACTGCAAAGAAACCAGTACCAAGGAGTTAAAGGGGGGCTGGGGCAGGAAATCTAGGTGAGCAGGCTGAGCAGGAATGGCATGGAGTATGGATAGAAGGCTGAATGGTAGGACATTTTAATGTGTTTAAGTGCTATCAGAAAGAGAAAACAGGAAAAACGATATAACCCTCATATAACCCACCCCCGCTCCGTGACCCACTCCCACACAGAGTAAGTAGAAGATTGATTGCAGGGAAAACAGGGGAGCAAAATGACACTCAGTTCCATTGCTGGTCTGGGGAAGAAATGTTGGAGCCAGGTCTGTCAGAGAAGAAAATCTGTTCTGAATTCCCTCTGTCTTAATGGTCTGTTAAGACACAGGGGTACATTTTCAAAGTGGTCCAAGGCAATTAGCCACCCAAATTCCCACAAATAAATAGAAGCCGCATTGCTGAAATTCTACAAAGCCCCAAACAAGTTACCCATTTTTAATGCAATTAGCTGTTTTAACCATTTGAAAGCAATTTACAACAGACTAGAAAGTATTCTTGTCTGGGAGAGCATTGGTACAGGGCGTTCCCCATTCCAAAAAAAGACACCAGAATCACAGAAGTTCAGGGGAAGGCCCCTCCCCTCTGCATGTCTTCCAATGTCCATCTCAGAAAGACTTCCCCCTGAAAGATCCCTGAGATCATTGAGGCTTTGCTTCTGTGAGGATCTTCTCTCAAAGTAGCCCCCTCTACTCTGGGATGGCTGTAATCAGAAGCAAAGTCTTCTTGACACCCAGCCTCAGTTTGCCTCTTGGAAGCTTCCATTCACTGCTTCAGGTTCTGCTCTCTGAGGCCAAGCCAACTAAACCCAATCTTCTGATCCCTTCTTCTGGGAAACAGCCCTCCAAATACAGGAAGGAACCTGACTTGTCCTCCCTGATTGTTCTCCTTCCCATGCTGAACATCTCCAGTTCCTTCTATTGGTCCTCACCTGGCCTGGACCTCAGCTCTTACATCATCCTCTTGGAGATCTACAGATTATCAGTGCCCTTCTTAAAATGTGAGGACCAGAACTAAAGACAATATTCCAGGTGTGGCCTGACCAGGGCAGAGCACAGAGGAACCATTCCTTCTCTAGTCCTCAGCACAATGCCTCTGAACATACACTTAGACCCCATTCACTGTCTTGGCTGCTGCATTGAAGTGAACATTATGCTTGAGCTAACCGTCTACTGAAACCCCATTGCAACCCAAACTTTCTCAGGCACACTAATATATAGCCACATCTCTCCTATCTTGTTCTTATAAAGTTAAATCCTGCCAAGCCCCATCTCTTTTGGCATGTTTTTGCTCCTCTCCTCTACTTTTCTCTCTTCTCCTCTCTTCCTTTCCTCTTCCTTTCTTTCTTCTTCCTGCAGTTCCCTTCTCTCTCATTCTTTTACTTTTCTCTCACACAGTTTATGTTAGCATTAAAAAGTTTACAAGTCCAGATGTTAAGGGAGGCTGACTTCAAAGTATCAATACCAATGGAACTATGAAATGATCCAACAGTCCTGAGAAATCATTTGGATGGCTTTGAGAAAAGTCATTAAACTGTTCTTATTCTTTCCCTTGGAGATGCCACTTTTGCTCATATGCCCCCAAGAGAATGAAAGAGAGAAAGAAGGATCTCATATATACAAAAATATTCATAGCAACATTTGTGTGTGTTGGGGGTGGTGGTGCAACAAACAAATAAGTAATAAATTAGTGAATTAACAAATAAATATTATAAATGAAAGGACATCACAAACTAAAGGCCCATTGAGTAAGGAATGGCTGAATCTGTAGTTTGTAATTTCAATGGATTACTATTGTTCTATAAGAAAAGACAAATGTGAGAAATTCATAAAAGTGTGGGAAGATTTGTATAAATTGATGCAGAGTGATGTAAACAGAGCTGGAGACTCGTATGCATAAAGACTATGATAATGGGGGGAGGGGAGGCAACGACAATAGTAAAAGGCAATTAAACTGCATGATTAATTGTATTGAGTAATCTCAGTTTTAGAAAACAGTTGATGAAACATGATTCCATCCTCTTAGTAAAGAGGTGGGGATGATGGATGCAGAATGTAGTATTCTCTGTGAGTCATGGCTACTGCATTGTTTGGTTTTGCTGAAATGTTTTTCTTTTTTTTTTTATTAAAAGTATTACATGAAATATCATTACTGCTGACCTGTTTTTCTTTTTGACAACGAAGAAGAGATCAGGAGAAATGAGTATAATGGAAAAAAGTACTAGAAAAACAAAAGTCATCAATAAAGCTTAAAAAGAAAAAAAAATAAAAGCAATACATATACCCCTATTTGGGAATGCTTGCCCTGCCTGTGCCCATGTGAAAGTTTGAATGAATGGTGTTGTTGGATTGATTTAATTATTATTGTTGTAAAACACAGGTTTAAACGTTTGAATAGCTATAGGGGAAGCCTGAAGCCCTGCCCTCTGGGCATAGGGAAAATCTGCTTTCCTTTCTTTGTTTTATATGCTTATTTTGTTTTCTATAAACAGCTTTAACTGCAGGCATCTGTTAGTCTGGGTATAGTTATTGGCAATGGAGTTAGGAGGAGGCAACTAAGGAGGAAGCATCCCTATAGGGGAGAGAGAGAGAGAGAGAGAGAGAGAGAGAGAGAGAGAGAGAGAGAGAGAGAGAGAGAGAGAGAGAGAGAGAGAGAGAGAAAAGAGAGGAGAGAGAAGAGAGAGAGAGAGAGAGAGAGAGAGAGAGAGAGAGAGAGAGAGAGAGAGAGAAAGAAATCTAACACAGTGACATGTTTTGCCAGAGCACCATAACTGACTGGGGGCTTGGAGCTTTAAAAAAAAATAACAACATGATAGAGAAGTTATATACCCATTGATATAATCAAGAAAACCACAATGGTAAGGTTTTTTTTTTGTGGGGGGAAACAAATAGAAGTGGGTAAACAGTCCTACTCAGCACTGGACCCTATGACTTCCTCATTGGAAAATTGTTGCTGTTATCAGCAATAATAACAATATTCTCCAATTGGAAATTGAAAGTCAAGACAAGGCAACACAATTTGAAATTATAATTGGTATGGGGGAAAAAAGTAAAGTGTTAATAAGTTAGCAGGCATGAATCAGCAGGAAAAAAAAAACAGACTAGCCAATGCAGAGAGGTAGCCACTGAAGTATAGGAGATGCAAGCAATCAGAAATCTTGAAGGGTAAATAAAGAAGGATCCAAATCAGGAAGAGCAAACAGAATGAGAAGGGTTCAATAGGAGGTAGCAGAGTCTGGAACATCAGGAGCTGATGAGATAGAAAGATATGCTGGCCGCTATGCAAAATGCCAGGAGAGGCAGCACTGGCACGAAGTGGTCAAAGGACTCCAAAATGGAAAGAGCCAAGCTCTTTAAGAATGGGTGCTGGGGCCATAGAGAGTAGAGGTGGACATTGAAAGAAAAGATGAAAAAGGAACTCTCCGGATATACTGTCAATGAACCACCTGGAGTTTCAGTGTGACGTCCGTAGCTCTGAAGTCACCTGGAGGACCTTCCCCTTCTCATAGAACTTCAGTTTTTTTTTTAACAAAGATTAACAAGAGTCATTTTTGTCTCATACTAACAACAAAAAGCATACATACATAATACTTGACAGGTCACAAAGCTGTTTTCTCACTAGACATGTCAGGTGGCAGGTAGTTTCAGTAATATCCCCATTCTGCAGGTGCACAAACTGAATTCAAGAGAGAGTCCACAACTTTCCTAGGTCACATGGGTCATAAATAGCAGTGTTTGAATTTGAACCAAATTAACCCAACTGAATCTTTTGCTCTTCATTTTTATGATAAATTTCTGTCTTTAAAAAAAGCCACAGGCTTTCTCCTTCCTTCTGCTGTGGCTGCCATTGGGACTACAGTAATGCCGCAGCCATGGCCATCCAACATCCCATGGCCATAGGTCTCAACAAAGGCCACAAAGTTACCAAAAACATTTCAAAGCTGCGACACTGCCGCCACTGTGGGTGCTTGACCAAACACATGAAGTTTGTGAGAGATATGATCTGGGTGGTGAGTGGACGTATGAGAGACAGGCCATGGAATCTTAAAGGTCTCCAAGGATAAGCGAGCCCTTAGGTTCATCAAAAAAAGGGTGGGAACTCACATCTGGGCCAAAAGGAAGAGAGAGGAACTCAGCAGCATCCTAGCTGCGATGAGGAAGAAGGCTGCTGCCAAGAAGGACTAAGCTGGACCCTGCCAACCTTCCCCACTTACCCAACAAAGATTTGACAAATAGAAAAAAAAAGCCACAAACATTGACAATTTCAAAAATACTGATAGAAACGTGGATCTCCTCTGGGGCCGAGCTTGGCTTTCTCAGCTTTGATTTAGGAGACTATGAAAATAGTCTGAAATCTTAGCCCCAACTGGCTGACATGGTTCCAGATATTCAGTGGAAATGAGGTTTGTGACTATATTGGGTCCTGTGTGTCATTTGATACTTAAATTCACTCTGCACTTGGCACTGAGGAGATAAGGATGCAAACAAAAGCAGGCAGTGGCCTCAATCAGAGACAGGCCCCAACTACTTGGGAACAGCTGGAATATAGACTGGAGGGCCTATACTGTGATCTAAGTCTGGAAAGTTGGACTGGAACCCAGATGTGAAGAGTTTAAAATCTAAAGTTGAGGAATTTGTATTTTATCCTACTGGCGATAGGGAGCCACTGCGAAGTCTTGAGCCAGGGGAACATCACGGTGAGGCCTGCGTTACAGGGATATTGCAGTGGAAGCTAAGTGGAAGCTAGATCAGAGAGAAACTGGATGCCCAGAGACTTTTTAGGGGGCTATTCCAAATTGCTCAGTAAGTGGCCCCCTGACCAAGGGTTAGGCTGGCACCAAAAATAATAATGGGAAAGATGCTTTGGAGGTAGAGCCAAGAAGACAGAATCTGTCTGGATAAAGGCAGCAGAACAGTCTAGGAGAGAAAGGGCAATATGTTGACTCCAATCTTCATATGGCACCAGAGGCATAGTGGTGAATTCAGATGGATCCTGAGAGCTTCATTCCCCTAACTCCACTGCCTGAGGTTCCAGACCAGCTGCACGTTAGCACAGCAATTGAAGGCAAGGTGGAAGAGCCACCAGCTGAAGCTGATGCCACTATCATGATGATTCTCTTCAAGAAAGGAATAAGGATTTGGTAAGAGCTTACTACCGCCAGCCACTTGCACTTTGTAAATGTGTTAGTGTTTGAACTTTACAACAAGCCTAGGAAGTAGGTACTATTGTTATCTCCACTTTAAAGATAGAAAAACTGAGTCAGCAGTTAAGTGACTTGCCCAGGTCACACAGCTAAGCCAGATATGAACTCAGGTCTTTCTGACTCCAGGGCTAGAAATCTATCTACTGAGCAACCAGCTGCCATACATTTCTCTTCAAGCCTTTGCTTTTCCTAATTGCAAGGTACAGCTTTTGCTGTTTATGGGAGATCTTTGGGGGATGAAGTTCCATCACTGTGCTTTTTTTCTTGTTCATTTTTTAATGTCGTGAACCAACATTCCTGTTCTTTTTCTAATTTAAAAAAAAAAGGATCCATTTTATTTGTGTCATGTGTATTAGTTGACTGGTAAGATGAAGATGATTCTGAATTTCAGTTTGAGTAAGGATCTCAAAAGTTTCCAAACCCCTCAGTCTCAGTTTTGCAATCATGTTCTTCTACCTGCTCACCTCCTTCCCCCTAAACCTCTCTAGTGAAACTTCTGAGTACACATTCAGATTACATCGGATTTCCTTGAAGGAATTGATCCAATCCCTGCTGGCTGTACCTCCCCCAAGGCAAGGCGGCCTAGAGAGGGGAGTAACAAAAAGGAAACTCAGTAAATTCCAAGTGTGGTCCTGACTTCACCGTGTGAGTGACTTGGGTGGGGCACATGGTTTCTCTGCAGTTCATTTTCTCTTCCACTGAAAGGAGGTAAGGAATACTTGACTTCCCACTCACATTCATACAGGAATACAAAGGTTGCTGAGAACCTTTACAGAAAGAATGCTCTTGGTGAGTGGGGGACATTATAAGAGGCAGGTTCTTTACATCTGAGCAGAATTTGATCTCAGCACCATCATTGTTGGGAAATTACTGCTTGTTCCTACAAAAGTCAAACTGATTTGGGAAATGACATATTGACGCATAACATTACAATCCTTGAGACAGGTAACTAAAGAAAAGTTTTTGGGAAACACACACACCCACATACACACACACACACACACACACACACACACACACACACGCTCACACAGATACAGCCCAAGCACAGGTATACATGAAGTATCTGTGTACATATCATATATGTGTTTGCACATGTATAAACATGGGTGTGTTTGCTAAATATGTTCATGTAGCCCTGTGAGTCCTTTGCATCTTGAGCTGTGGAGGAAGGAAATGAAAGATATCCCACTAAGTAATTACAGTGAGTAGGGGACAAGTGCTTACAAAGCACCTGTATTGTGTGCCACATACCATGTTAAGTACTTTCCAAATATTATCAGATTTGATCTTCACTACAGCTCTGCAAAGTTAGTGTTGTTATTACCCCTCCCCCAATTTTACAGTTGAGGCAATTAAGACAAATAGAAGATAAGTGACTTGCCCAAGGTCATACAACTACTGAGTTGATGAGGCTTCATTTGAACTCAAGTCTTTCTGATCCCAGGCCCAGCTACTCTATCTATTGCACCAGCTAACAAGGGGTGAGGGGACCCTTGCTGTTCATGTTTGGAGGAATCCTAAACACAAGTGATAGCCAATCCTTGTTTTACAGATTTCTCTAGAGTTTTACTCGGGGGGTAGACAATGATTTCCTTGAAGATCAAGTCTCCGGGCTAGAGTTGAGTCTGTGTATGCCTCAATGGCTCTTGGTGGGAACCCTGCCATGGTTGACACACAAAATAAGAAGACCAATAGTTTATTTCTGGATTCAAGGAAGAGAGATAGCATTTAGGTTTAAGAGAGATTACTGAACTTCAATTTATATTAAAACAAAGAAGACAAAGAATGTATGTCAATCTATGAAGTACTAAGCCCGAGTCTTATTTCTCATGCTTTGGCCATATGACAAGACACATTTGAGGTCCAATCAAGAGACAGTTAGCCCTACCAGGACTATAGACGGATCTCAAGTGATCTAAGGCCATTCCCTGTCACCTAAGGCATAGCCATACACTTGAGAACAGATTATTTAGGCATGTTTACGTAATGCATCATCCATGGTAGGGGAAACCCATGAATATGAGCATAACACTTTGGATAAGAATGTGTTCCCAGCTTGGTACTATTTTATTGGCTAATAGTGGGTATCCCTCTGGATTCATCAGTAAACTTGATTTCAACTGGCACTTTATCTTCACTCTTCTGAAGGGGGAAGAGGATGGTTGCCCAGTCTGGATCATAAGGAAAAAAAATATAGGAGGATATTGAGGAACTCAAGGTATGAAACAGGAAGCCAAGGAACAAAGGCTAAAGTACAGTCATGTTGTCATGGGAATATACCAGAGATTGCCTAGTCAGAAAGAGGAAATAGATTAGGAATTTAGGAAGTAGATCATAAATCTGACTGAGGCACCTCATAGTAGCAATACAGAAATTCAGCTCTCTGCGTATCTGCTGAAGCACTCTCTTTGCCCAAAACAGAGCAGCTGATAAATTCTTGGCTTGCTGTAATGACAATTGCATTCTTCAAAATGGGGGAAAAGTTATGAAAAGGAATGGGGAGAGGGATTGCTATTTTGGGCCTTATTCTCACCAAAAAAAGGAGAGGGCGGAATTATTGCTAAAGCAGAAATCAGAAATGATGGGAAGCTTGGGCGAGAGTGACCACTCCATCTTAGAAAACATGATGGAGAAAGTGAAGAGGGGTACTCAGAGTCTAACATGCACCCTAGATTTGGAAAGAATGGATTTCAAAGTTCTAAGAAAGCTCTGAAGAATAAAATTGTAATCACAAACAGAAATAATTCCAATTTGAGAGAAAAGAAGAAGCTATCTAAAGAGGCCTATCTGGATGACCCAAAGAGACCTTTAAAAGAACTCTATAGATGATGGAAGATGAATAGAGAAGTATATCATGATCCTGTGAGTATGGCCCCAGGAATGACAACACTAGATTAACAAAGGAAGGGAGTGTCTTCAACAATCTTAATGTCTGTCACCTAGAAGAAGAGTTAGAGGTCACAGCTTGGCCCTAGAGGTTGGGACCAGATGTAATGGGGGAAATTTTGGAGGCAGAGTTAGGACTATTTTAACAAACATCTCTGCAACAATGAGAGCTGTCCAAAGATCCAGTGGGTTACCTTAAGAAGTTATGGGCAGCCTCTCACTGGGTCCTTCAAATAGAGGTTGGGATGATCATTTGTGCCATAATGAATACATGATTGATCTTCGGGTACAGATTTGACTAAATAAACTCCCATGTCCCTTTGGATGCTGAGATTCCATGACTTAGTTTTCAGAGAAGAAGGAGGATAAGAAAGTGACCTATGATAGAAGCTTGGGACAAGATGAGATCAGTAAGGAATTCACTATAAACTGTGTCAGATAAGGCAAAGGGGTCAAACAGGGTGAATGCTAATAAAAGGCTGCTGGGTTTGGCAATGAGGATGTCCCTAATGACTTCAAAGAAAACAGGTTCCATAGAGAAGAGGTAATAGTGGGCAGATTTGTAAGGATATATGGTTCTTCTGGGTTGAGAGGTGGCATGGGTGAGGAAGGACAGGCAGTCATTGCAGCCTACACTGGGTAGAAATTTATTATGGAAGGGGAGGACAAATGAAACAACAGCTTGAGGAGGCAGCACAATTGGGGGAAAAGTATTGGTGATGTTGGAGACCTGGCTTTATTTGTAGGTGGAGGGGAAGGTGCCAGGAGAGGTGGGTAGATGGCAGTGCTCCCTTCTACATGAAGCTTTTCCTGATTCCCCAACTATTGGTGTCTGCCTACCCTCCTTCCCCTTGAAATTACCTTGTTTATTCTGTATAGCCTTATATGTGTGCATGTTGCTTCTCCCAAGAGAACATAAGCTCTTTGAAGGCAGGAGTTGGCACATTTCTGTCTTTTGACCCCAGCAGTGAGCACAGTGCTTGGCACACTGAATGCATTTAGTAGATGACTTGGTTGACTATACAACAGAGAAGAGAGGGGTTGCGATTGGTGTTACTGGAAGAGGTCCTTGCCAAGCTCAGTAGGAAGACC